CCGTACGCCTGTGCTTGAGCAGTAAACACTACCGCCCCCGGGCTTTGGTTTGTTTGGCGTGTTCATTCCTTGTGCCGGGTGATTCTTACAGGGAACGACAGTGGTCATAAGATGATAGCTTGAGAATTGTGTAACTAATAAGAAAACCAGTCGATGGATTTGTCTTAGGAATATTTCCCTGTCCTTACAATGGCTGTTGATATACCAGGAAGTACGAAAGAATTGGCCAACATCTTCCCTTTTGATACTCCATCGCCACAACATACAACCCATGATACCAACGGGTCTGTGTCAGCCATTTTTAGCCCATCAGCATTTTAGAGACCATTAGTGTTTAAAAAGTTACTTCTTCCTTTCTGCTGCTTTTTCAGCAAAAGCAGCAAGTTAGTAGAAGAGTACTGTCATATAAACAAGTTCCATTGTGCAGTAGAGTCAGCCCTTGTGCCTACAGCGTCTTCCTTTCCGTACACACCTATTGGCCACTGTATCTCTGGTCATGCTTAGCCTAGCCTGGTCTTGAGTGAAGCTGAAGGAAATAAATCTACTTGAAGACAGTATTAAGTGTTACTTGTCTCAATGAATATTTTTATGTCCTCTCTTAAGTGTGCAAGATACATGATGAACACCCATTCTCAATTGCTTATTACACCCTCAGCAGCATATCCTTGGAGTTACTTCCAATTTGTCTTGTCTTTTTCAGACAATTTCTTTTGGGCCTGTATTAAAGGCGTGAGAGGAGAAGCATGAAAGTTGTGTACAGTGTCATTGTCGTGAGCTGCATCGGCCTAACTAATTCAGAAATGCAAGGTCTAGCTAATTCCTACCTCCGCTGAAGGAGATGAGGCATGATTTTAACTGTTCACAGAAGGAAAAGCTGTTTCCACTCGAGTGTCCTTTGACATATTGAGCACAGAGGGATTTGTCAGTATGGTAGGGCATACCTGTGAAAATGTAGGTTGTGGGAGAGGAGGAGAGTGGTCCAAGTGCTGCCTTCTCCTGGCAGCAGCAGGTTAGAACATCTGCTGAGAACAGCTGGCCACTGAACGCTGGCAGTGTTTGCCTGAATTAATCCAGCTCTCTGTCATTTTAGGCTTATTATAGTTTTGCTCCGTATTGCCTGACCAGGTCTGTTTTCTGTCATAAGAAGGAAATCAGAGCTGTGTGAAGGGAGGCTCTGCTGTTACTCTTCATGCCAGTTGCCTGCAGGAACAGATTATATTGGTGTGAGTCTTTGCTTCATGCTTGTGACTGACAAGACTCACTGAGACACAAAGGAGCTTTTTGGTGAAGTGATACTGGTTGTGTCTGATACTAGCTTTTCAGTGTATTGCAATCTCAGTTTTTTGACTGGTTGCCTTGGCTCTGTGTTAAAGAAAATGACTACTGTTTTATCCTTTTCTTCTGTGTGCAGGTACAAATGATTCCTCTGTTAAACTGAACCATGAGTCTTGCATTACATGATCTGCTCATTTGTTGTCGCCGCCTTGAAAATGAGAAGGCTGTGGAGCGAAGGGTAATGAGTTTTCTTTTGATGTGTGCACCTCAATTAGCAGTAAAGAGAATCATTAATAGTTATTTTTCTTGAAATGTATTTTCAGAAGGAAATCGAGAATTTCAAGCGACTTCTCCGTGATTCTGAAACAGTTCTCCAGCTGGACCGGAACTCTGATTCTAAACAAGGGAAGCAACTCAACTGGGATGCTGTATTTAGGTAGTTTCATAGGTTTTCTTTGTGAATGGTCACATTTTTCTTACATGGAACATCATTCTTTTGTTTATCATGCCTATTTTAATACATATCTCTCTCTCTGCAGATGGATTTAGACTTCTTGTCAGCTTGTAAACAAGCAATGGCTTATGTTAGTCTCTAAAGGAAGTAAATTTAAGATAGCCAAAAATGCAACACTTACCACACACAGAAACCTTAACTGCTAGGATACTGATTGTTAACTCAGTGGTCATTTTTCCTCGCAAAAATAATCATTACTTTCATGTACTGAAAATTATCCTCTGCATCTGATTTTCAATGAATAGTTCATATGTAGATTTATAAATAGCTCAGTAGAATTTTTTGTGTTACTGAGTTCTTCAAGACACAAAGAAGGACTGTGGCTTGTGAATTAAAGAAGCTGTGTTGAGGTTTGTAGAGCCCGATCCGTGATATAATTTGCTTTAGGTGTACTACAAGACTGGACTGACTGTGAGTAAGTTCTTTGAGCAGCTGGGCCCAGCATTAAACTTCATGTTACAAGTGCATCTGAAGTGTTAGTTCTCACAGGCTGGTGTCTGCTCAGGTTTCCATTATGTTTTTTAATTGGGCAACGTTGCAGTAGTTCTTGTTTCATAGCTGTATCAGAAAATAGAAATATTTGATACATTTTATATTTTGCTTTTGAGATGGACAATACTGTATTAGAAGTACATAGAAGAAATACAAAAATAGAGACTCTAAACTGAACACAAATAGTAGGCCAGAAAATCTGCAATAATTGCCAAGGATAAAGCCCGTGAAAAACTTAATCTATTCTTAGATCTAAAATCTAATCTGTATGTTAGTTTTAGATGATGAAGAAATAGAACTTGAAGGTTTTCCCAAATAAAGCAATGAAGAGTACTTATTTTTTTGTTGTGTAATGCTACAGCATAAATAAAAAGATGTAGCGCTGCTTTTTTTCCAAATTATAAATTGCATGTGTAGCATTATGCAGAGTTTAAAGGAAAGTTGGGTTCCTATTCAGGTGGCTTCTGGATTATCTTTAAAATGTATGGGTCCTTCTGCAGATTATTTCCATCATGGTTAGACTATATTACATATTTCAGTTGGTTTTAGTCTTTGATAATTAGAATTGTAAGAAGAACAAGCACTGACATTTTAGGCTAAATGAATGTTTAGCTATTTTACTTTAGTCATAAATATGCAGATCCTCAATTAATGTCTTTTTTATTTTTGAAGCATCTTGCAGAAATATTTCCAGAAAGAAATTAAAAACCTGCAGCTGACAAAACCAAATGCGTCTGCCTCAACCCAAACTACTAGACAGAAAAAGATGCAAGAAGTTGGAAGTTTGGTCAAATATTTCATCAGATGTGCTAATAAAAGTCAGTAATATATATTCATATAGAACTACTGTTTTATTTTGGTGCTTTGCTTTCAACTTTGATTTCTCAGTCTGAAGTAAGTTTCCAGAGCAGGGTTCATGTTGCTTGCTTCCAGGTATTTACAATTTAAATATCTTCACGTGAATCAGTCCTTTGTGCTCCTTCTCTGTCCTTGATGTTCATCATGCCTTTTTTTAATTAGTCAACATGTATATAACTGATGCATTATCTCATAAATAATTTCATTCTTAGAAAGAGTTTAAGAAGATGAATCCTAATAGAACTGTAGGTTGTTTATTTTTTATTTTAAAGTGCACATTTACAAGTGAGTAATTAGAGATTTATTTGTCCCGCTTTGGGTTAATTACAGTCTCACGTTTTCTCTTCATGCAGGAGGACCTAGACTGAAATGTCAGGAGCTTTTGATTTATGTAATGGAAATTATAAGAGATCCAACAAGCTGTGCTGCTTATGGCTCTGACTGTAGTAGTATACTCTTAAAAGATATTCTCTCAGTAAGGAAATACTGGTGTGAGATATCCCAGCAGCAGTGGTCAGGTAACATTTTTTAAGCCTACCTACAAATGTCTTTTCCCATTGTAGAAACACATTTAGGTGTGTTTTGATTTGTTTGATGCCCTGTTGTGTGAGGTACTATGCAAAATAGGAAGTAAAATAGGGTCAGCTTTGAAGGCGCACAATTGAAATAAAGCAGGAAAGATTAGGAACTGATTTTTTTTCTCTCTGCTTACTCTGTCTGTTGCTTGCTGAAACATGTACTTACATACAATGGGGTTACGTGTTTGTGGCCTCCACAGGGCTTAATGTGTACAACAAATGCATGGAACGTGTGTGCTGGAAACAGCCTCAGTAAAACTGCCTATGGACTTGTTTGCAAGTTACTAGGTACTGGCTGGTTTGTTTGACATAGTTAACATATTACTGTTAAATTTTGCTATCTGAGTTTTGTTGGCACATTAAGGTCCAAAAAAAACCCATTGAGTCACAGCTGTTATCCACTCATATGTAAAGAAGACATTAGAAAGCTTACGAATTAAATTGACAAAACCAGATTCAAAAGCTGGATAATGATATAGTGTGCCACTTGAACTGAGTGCAAATGCAAACATAACTTTTCAATTTTTACAGGACTGGATTTCATTCCAAGACAGTTAACTTACTTAGCATGGAGAAGAATGTTTGTATATTATGAATGACCTGACATGTACTGAGCTCTCAACTCATCTGTTTTGTTTATTAATGTAATAGAACAGTAATTTGAAGAAAAAAAGGGGCATTAGAAGTTTTACAGTCTGGTTTGATGAATGTTACGTGTACAATTCTGGAGAAAGTATAGAAATACTACTTTTATTTTTGTAGTGTAGTATTTTGAAGTCCGTTTGTATTTCTGAAATGCATTTTATGAGAAAAGTACTCTGCTCAGTAGCGTTAACAGTTTAACTACAGAATGGAACTGAACCTGCGAAGAACTCGGAAGAGGAGACTGGTGATACCTGGAATACCAAGGGGAGGCAAAATAAAACCTTGCTGGAATGGAACTATTCCGCATAGGTGATGTGGTTGAGTAATTTGAGAGCCTGAGGGTGAGGTCTCGGAAGTCCAAGAGCTTGGTGCTGTTTGGTGATGGAGATAGAACTGGAAGTTGAAGATTGAAGGAGAAGCTGGAACTGTATAGGAAAGCTGCCTGAGCGTGGGAGCCGGTGGGGGGGATAGAAGACAAAGAGAGGGCTATCAGCCCACAGGCTGGGGCAGGGTGCAAAGGCAGGGACTTATCCAGGAGGGGCTGGATATGTTCACTTCCAGTGTAGGCAAGACCACATGTTTGGGTTTTTTTTATTCAGTTAACTTTTGTGACTGCAGCTGAATTCAGCATGATAGTTTCCACATACTTAATGGAATGTTTTGCTTCAAGCATTTTTTTATTTATTCCTCTGTAATATGTTGCTGGGTCCTGCACTTGGGACACAACAACCCCCTGCAATGCTACAGGCTTGGGGATGAGTGGCTGGAAAGATGCCTGGTGGAAAAGGACCTGGAGGTGTTGATTGACAGCTGCCCGAACATGAGCCAGCATGTGCCCAGGTGGCCGAGAAGGCCAGTGGCATCCTGGCTTATATCAGAAATAGTGTGGCCAGCAGGACTAGGGAAGTGATTGTCCCCCTCTACTTGGCACTGATGAGGCGGCACCTCAAATACTGTGTTCAGTTTTGTGCCCATCACTACAGAGAGGACATTGAGGTGCTGGAGTGGGTCAAAAGGAGGACAACAAAACTGGTGAAGGGTCTAGAGAACAAGTCTTACAAGGAGCAGCTGAGGGAACAGGGGTTGCATTTAGCCTGAAGAAGACTCAAGGGAGACCTTATCACTCTCTACAACTACCTGAAGGAAGCTTGTAGTGAGGCGAGGTCAGTCTCTTCTCCCATGTAGCAAGTGATAGGACAAGAGAATATGGCCTCGAGTTGTGCCAGGGGAGGTTTAGATTGGATATTAGGAAAAACCTTCACAGAAAGGGTTGTCAAGCCCTGGAACAGGCTGCCCAGGGAGACTGTGGAGGCACCGTCCCTGGAGGGATTTAAAAGATGTGTAGATGTGTTGCTGAGGGACATGGTTTCATGGTGGGCATGGCAGTATTAGATTATGGTTGGACTCGATGATCTTAAAAGCCTTTGTCAACCAAAGCAATTCTGTGATATTTCTATGTTTACAACATATATATATACACATTATATCCTACATCCTTTCATACATTTGCAGAGTTGCTCGTCCTGTATGGCCAATTATACCTCAGACCTTCTGGGAAGATTAATAGAGTCTTGGCAGCCAGGATCATTCACACACTTACGAGGGGGTACTGCTTCCAAACGGATGGGCTGAGTTCTGATATGTTTCTCTTCTTTTCAAAAGCAATGCAGTGTGCAAGGTATGTTGGAAGTGCTGCTTTGTGTGCCAACACCTACTTTTAGGGAATAACTCATTTTAAGCATTTGAGATTAGACTTGACTAATAGCATGTAATACTTTAGCTTTGTTTTGCTTTGTCTTTGAAGACAAATTTAATACTTTAAAGTACTAATAACTTCTGCATTTGTTAGGCAGATAATATTCTGAAGATAATTACTTGCTAGTATTTACATTTAAACAATTCCTGTGTGTCCTGGTTCCGTGTAAAAAGGGGTTCAGGGCAGGACCCACACAGAACAGAACTATGTACTCGCCTCTCCCCCACCCCCTCGAGAGAGAGAGAGAGACACTTTTTAAAAAAATGAAGTATATTGTTCAACAAGGAACAGAAAACGAAAAAGGGAGGTAAGGAAAATAATATATATAAAGATCAGGGGAATAATACAAAAGATAAAATATACAAAACCCTCAGAAATGGTTCCAGGGTCCCACGGAGTGAAAGGAGAACTTTCCTCTCTGAGCTCCAAAGCAGGAGTGAAACAAGAAACCACTCCCTGCCTCTTATCAGAGTGTGTGTGGGAAGGGGAGGGAATACAATGGTTTCACCCCCACCCGGGGTCCTCCCAGTTGCTGGAAGGTCACGACCCCATTCCAAGCCTCAAACCACAACATTGTGAAAAGAAGTAAGTTTATTTCTCCCAGAAGTGTGAGCGTTTGTTTTGTGTTGCAGGCAGGAAAAGAATGCTGCAGGCCTGGATCATATCATTGGAGCAATGAATATCTTCTGCAATAAGTTTGCTGCCAACTGTCGCATGAGGATTTGTAAATTAGGGGAGGAAATTTTGCCTACAGTGCTTTATATATGGACTCAGTATAGACCAAAGGATTCCCTGAAGGAATCAATAATTGAGTTATTTCATCTCCAAATTCATATTCATCATCCAAAGGGTGCAAAAACTCAGGAAGAAGGTAAATAAAAAGCACCCTGTGGTCTTTTCCTATTGCTGTATGTGATTGTTTGAATTATTGTGCCAACTTCCTGAATTTTGATACTGAGTCTTGGAAATGTTAATGGGAGTGATTACTTGTCCATAGTTTTATGCTGTAGGTTAATATTGAGTGAAAGTGAAAATGAGTTTTCAAAATGTATATACTAAGAGAATATTAATTAAGTCCTGTAAAGGTTGATTCTTTAAAAATTATTTTTTCTTTAATCACGAGGTGATTTTAATTACCAAATCAAAACACAGAGTCTTTGGGGAAAGGAAATAATAGTTTAGATTGCCATGTATTCATATCTTACCAGGTTTACTTAAGCCTACAAGTTACTACTCTGGTCTAAGTCTGACTTACTGTATAAAATTGGTCAGAGCACATCACTCAGTAATTGTGTTTGTCATGGCTGATTTCAGTTATAGCATCTTTTTTTTTTTTCTTCTTAAAAGGTTTGTTTGTGTGTTTTTTTTTGTCTACACATGGCAGATTGTATAATCAGTCCAAACTTAGCCATTGCATTTGATTGCAGTCTCTCCAGATTAAGAATGGGTTATTAGAAACATTGCTCCTACCCTTTATACTTGTGTCGGCCGACTAAAATTCTCTCAACTTTCTTCCCTTTTTTCCTTTATTCATTCTGCATTAAAAGCCTGGTTTTGCAAGCCTGCATTTGTTAAGCTTTTATGCTTTACTCTGACTTTGGCTGTTTTGCATTGTCTAGGTAGATTTCCCTATAGTATCGAGTGAACAGTACATATTTAACTTTTAATTGGTTTTGCATGTACAGGTGCATGTGCCTCAACAAAATGGCAAAGTATCCTGCATAACCTGTATGATCTGCTGGTGAACGAGATAAATCTCATCAGCAGTAGAGGAAAGTATTCTTCAGGTTCACGTAACATTGCTGTGAAGGAAAACTTGATTGAGTTAATGGCTGATATTTGTCATCAGGTAACATTTTTATGTGAATATAAAGTTGGCAATGCATGTGCTGTGTTGTAGGTTTTGCTTTTTAAAGTAAAAAGCTTTAGCATTTCCTCAAAATAATTTGCTGAAGTATTAGTCCCTTTTGTCTGTGTTCTCTCATGTTTAATTGTTAATTTTTGTGTGGTTTAGAAATGCATGGGTTCCTAAATTACACGAGGTTTCACTAGTGTTGCTTATTAGACTATAAACAGTGGATTCTGTTACAGTAAAGAATAATAAGTAATTCTGATTACCTCTTAAGAGGCTTTATACACAGTAAAAAATGGGCCAGTTTGACGTTTGAGTTTTCCTGTAAATAGAACTTTTTCTCTTTGTGTACTTTTAAATTTCCCTTTATGAAAGGTTTTTACAGAGGATACCAAAGTTCTGGAAATTACCCAGTCCTATGCTGTCTCTCAAAGAGAGTCCAGTGATGAAACGATGCCAAGGAAGCGCAAGAGGATTGAGCTAGGCTGGGAGGTAATTCGGGACAACCTGCAAAGATCCCAGAAGGATTTTGATGTCATACCTTGGTAATAACATCTTTACATGAAACAAATATCACTACAGACATCTTTTTACATTTAATTGTTCTCCTGAATATGTTGTGGTTTCAAATTAGGTGTCTGCACATGCTGTAATTACATATCTATATGCTAAGATTAGATTCTCACAGCATTTGTGAAGAAGTTGAGTAGTGTTGTTGGCACTCTTGCTTTGAAAACATCGTATCTTTGATTTCCTGAGAAATGACATATGAGGTCTGGTAAACTGGGTTGTAGTGTATAAGATATTACTGTCTCTGTTTTTTTTGTCTGCCTTTTGTGCTAGATATTACCAGTCTTTATGTAAGTGGTGTGTGTGTGATCCAGCTTATGAATGTTAGGAAATGAACTTGAAGCCAAAGAATGTTTACTTTTTAGCTACAGTAGATTACACTGCATGTTTTATGCTCTTACTGTTCCTCCCTGTCTTTCTGACTTTTATTGGAAACTGCTGTAGATACTAGTATGGTGTAGCTGCTTCTGAATTGGGTACTGAGCTGGGGTGCCAGGTTTGTGCCCCTCTGTGTGTGTTTATTGCCCACAGTATTGAGGCAAAGTGGCTCTTTAGGACCCAGCTGTGAAGTTAACATGCCATGTGGTATGGAGGTGGCAATCTCCAAGAAATACTGAGAGAGCTGTTATTTGCTAATTGGGGTAGACTGGTAACCATTGCTATGAACAAAACCTAAACAACTTACCATCCCCAGCTTAATGTTTTATTAATGTGACACATTTTATCTTTCTTTTCTGCAGAGATGTTGTTGTAATGTTTACCGTTTATGCAGTTTCACCCTTGAGGTTACTCCCTGGGTCAGAGTCTATAACAGGCTAGTCCAAAAGGACAAAAATCACTTTTTTTTTTTCCCCTGAAGTTTTCTTCCCTTGTGATCAGAAATTGGTGAACTCAGCTTGTAAGATATTGTTAGTGATAGCAAGGCTAGGTGAGCAGATTTACAAGTAAAAACAGTAGAAATACTGAATCTTTAAGCCTTGATAGAAAACAAATAGGCTCAATACTGGAAAGTATAAATGCAAAATGACAACTGGAGAACACTTTGTTTGCTTACTCTGACGGCGCAAACTTCTATGTATTTGTTATTAAATGCTTCCCTTTTTGTTTTCAAGGTTGCAGATCACAGCTGAGTTAATATCAAAGTATCCCATGAGTCTCCCTAATAGTGAGCTACCTCCCTTACTCAGTGTACTTCACCAGTTACTGCCTCAGCAGCGCCGAGGAGAAAGGACCCCACATGTGCTGAAATGTCTTACACAGGTAGCTTTGTGTCAAAACCTGAAAACTGATCTGAAAAGCACCCACAAGTTGGAGCTCCAGAGAACCTGGGCAAAGATTTGGTCTCTTGCCATTCGTAGCATAAGTTTCCAGCAAATTGAAGTGGAGAGCTTTGGGCTACTTGCAGCTATGATTGAGGGAAACCTTGTTGTAACAGATAAAGAACTCTGGAAGATATTTTCAGGAACTGCATGCAAGCCTTCAAGGTAATATGGAAAGCAAGGATAATATTTTGCGTTTGATTTATGTCAGTCTTTACTGTGAAACCAAAACCACTGTGTTATTCAAAATAATCATGTTGTTGTGGCTGTAGTTCTACTTAAGAACTGCCCATGTTTGTGTTTTAAGCATTTGAAACAGGCCTAAGTACATTCATAACTCTCAAAGCAGAGGCAGAAGAGGAGAGGTAAGCATCTTCAAATTTAAAATTGACTACAAATGTAAAACTGACTGAAAATTTAAAATCTGACTGAAAGAGATATTGATTTTTTTAAGTTAAAAAGTGTGTTTTCTTCTAAGTGTATTTCAATTCTGAAATGAGTACTCTGAAACGGTCTTTAAAGTAGACAGAATATATCTGTGATAGGCAAAATGTGGCTTTTGAAAATGCAAAGATGCTAACAAAGGAGTTTTCCAATCTGCATGCTTATTAACTTGCTTATGTACTTGATGCTCCCTGAGCCTGCCAAAATACTCACAGTGATTATTTTGAGTATTTAAAATACTGAGTATTGAGTGCTGATAACAAATCCCATGTTGTTTCTCACAAATGTCCTGTGTTCCATTTTTGTTACAGTTCCGCTGTCCATTGTTTATCATTAGTGATGTCTGTCTATTCAGTGCCAGAAAATTTGGATGTAGGAATGGAACAGAATAATTGTGAAAGAAATCTGGATCTTGTGTTAAAGGAGGCAATAATGAAATGGGTACTGTCCTGCTATTTGGAGGAGGAAATGGAGGAATGTGCAGAGTTGCCTTCTGTGCTTTGCAGGTAAAGTCTTTGTGGCATAATGTTGTATGTAAGCTCACCCTGTAACACAGAAAACTGCACAGGGAAAAGCAGATTTGCACAACTGTATTATGTTAGTGCTCTGTTAGAGTTTATAGGGAGTTTTGAGCTCATTGTAGAATGTCATTCTGGGGACATAACTCGGTTACCCATCTGTAGCATAGCAGGTACGTGAACTATGTGTTAGAAACCTCAAGTAAAAACTAAAGCTTCTTGGAAGATACACTGTTAATCTGGTTAATGTTTGGGTGCACTTCCTGAATCTAAATTGCTTGTCTGATTGCAGGAAAATACATAACAATTTTCTTTTTTTACAGTGATTTTCCTCATCTTCTGTTACAAAAAATTCTCGTGAGTCTTACAATGAAGAACTGTAGAGCTGCTATGATGTTTTTCCAAAATGATGCTAAATGGTATGACTTTAAATCAATCATTACAAGACACTTAAGCTTTTTGTAGTTGCCGTTTTAGTAAGCAGAGATAATGAAATGTATAATTCCTCAAGCTCTTTTGCATCTTTCTCTACAGCATCTTTCAAACCCCATAAAAATAATACCACTTCTGTGGTTTGTTAAGTTGCTTTAAGTAGATATTAAAATAGTTTCTTGCTGACAGAGTAAAAGCTTTGAGTACTAAACAAAATACCGTATAAAGGAATATGTGTATCATCTCTCTTCAGCAATACAGCTAAATATTTGGGTCTTTATCCATAAGTACGTTAGGTACTTCTAACTCATTACAATTATATTTTTTTTGTGTACTTTGTAACTATACAAATGTATATTCATGCTTTTTAACATTACCTTCTGTTCTGGAGGAAGTGTATATCTTAAACATTTTCTTGAAGATAGATGCCAAGTAGAAAGTTGGCTAGATGCTCAGTGTCCATATGTTCTCATGCCACTCCACCTATATTTGTGTCCCCAGCCACACATTACTTGAGTGTGTCAGAGTCCATCAGAGCTGTTGAGTCTTTCACTGATGCCTGTGTTCAAGGTCATGGACTATATCCCATTGAAATGAAACTAAAATGTGTATAATTTGTTCTGATTGAAGATAAGACTTTCCCAGTAGAAGTTAAAAATGTTATCTGGAGGGGGATCGTGAATTTCTGCTTCCATTGTTTGAAGTAGGTTGAGGTCAGCCATGTTAGCACAAAGCAGATACTGCTGTAGGAGCTGCAGTAGAATGTATGGTGTGCCTGTAGGCTCTGTTTTTCTTTGCAGTTTCTTCAGACAGGGCTAAAATGGTGGTATCCATTTCACAATGGAAGTAACCTCAGAAATTAAAGATAGCTGGAGTTTGGAAGCACAAAAAGAGGAAATATTTTATTTTGTTTTTGATTATTTCTTGTATTTAAATAGTAGTTTTAAAGTCTTGTAAGTTGTATGCTGGCTGCTAAAGTAAAATTGATGTCTCTTCTTTAAGTGTGCAACACTTGCAAGGAAAAGAAGAAAATTTTTCTGATGTTGAAGAGCTGTATCTGCAGACAACATTTGATGAAATGGATATTTTCACTAATTTTGCAGTAAATGCTGAAGGTAAAAATGTGACTGGTTCAAGACTTGCCATCAACCAAAATCTTAGGGAAACACTGGAGCGCTGTCTTTTAGCAGTGTCAGAAAAGCTTTCAAACAGCTACACTCCTAAGGTAAGTTAGAAATCAGTTCCATCCTCATATTTCTGCCCTTAAACATACTTTCAAGGCAAAGTATATAGGTTCACTTGCCTTTTACCACTAAAAATGAACCACAAACATTTTAAAATCTATATCAAATAATACGAAATAGAGAATTCTGTATTTCTTTGCATCATTGGCAAAATGTCTGTAGTTTTCTTAAGTATGTGGGAGGGCATAGAAGCTGCATAGAAGTGGAAGTGTGTGCAAAGTTGCCACATAAACCACTGTTACTTGGCTTTTCGTGATGTTGGTTTCAGCTTCTGTGCCCCTGTAATGCTTTAAGCTTGTGGTGGGCTAACCCTGGCTGAGCAAGTGATACCCACGAAGCCACTCTGTCACCCTCCCCCTTTCCTATCCCTCCTCCACAGAGCAAAAGGACAAAGGAAAATAAGATAGAGACAAAAGCCTTGTGGATAAAACCAAGGACAGGTTAATTAGAAAGCAAAAGCCAAGCAATGCTGTGCATGGAAGCAAAGAGAAAAAACCCTAAGATTTATTCCCTGCTTCCTATCAGCAGGGGATGTCTGGCCTTTCCTGGGAAGCAGGACTCCAAAACGCAGAGCAGTTGCTCCAGAGGACTGAGGAGTAGCTCTGACATCCCCCCCCCCGCCCTTTGTACTATCTTTATAGTTGAGCTGATGTCATGTGGTCTGGAATATCTCTTTGGTCAGTTCAGGTCAGCTGTTCTGGTTACATTCCCCCCAAGTTCCTGCCCCCCCCATCCCATTGTGGGGAGAATGTTAGAAAGAGCCTTGGTGCTGTGCGAGCCCTGCTCAGTGGTGGTCAAACATGGGAGTTATCAACACCCTTCTACCTCCCAACACAAAAGCCCTGCACCAGGAGAGCTGCTGTGGGAAAATAAGCTCAGCCAGACCAGTACAAAGCTCTTGCCTATTTTCAGCCAAGATAGCCTGAGACATAAAGGCCTGAAATCGTTAGGTTTTGTAAAAAAGGACGCCTGTGTAAAGGGGTGATTGGAAAGAAAGCTGCAAATATTTTTATTAATATATTAAGAAGACCACAGCCAGTGCTTAAGATTATCCCTTTCTACCTGATGCCTTTAGGTGGCATCTGAACTACTGCATCCAGTTTTGGGCCTCCCAGCACAACACAGACAAGTAGTGTATTCAGTGGAGGACACTGAAACAACTTGTTCATTCTGGAGCAACAATGGCATTGGGGGCAGCCTGCCGGTTCCTATAAGGTTGTCTAGAAGACAGAGCCATGCTCTTCACAGTGCTATATTGCAGGAAGATTGGAGACAGCAGGCAGAGTCAAGAAAAGTTGACACTGGATACACAAGTAATTGTATCTACATAGAGACAATCAGGCAGTGCACAGGTTGCCCTGCCTGAGAGGTCATGCGGTCTTCATCCTTGGAGGTTTTCAAACTCTGACTGGATCACCCCTTGAGTAGCCTGCTCTGACTTCAGAGCTGACCCTGCTGTGAGTGAGACATTGGTCCAGAGATCTGCTGGAGATAGCAATCTGGGTTGGTCTCCTTCCTTAGGAAGTCAGACAAATGATTATTCATCTGCTCTTTCTCCTTATTTGATCCAAATAATGTAGACAGGTAAAAAGGGATCTCCGAAATGCTCCTGCAGTAAGCCTGTATGGTGTGCAATCATCTGTGCTGTTTCTTTGTTGACCCAGTAGCTGCTAAGGAGCAACTCATGCTGTCTCTTGTACTGAAAGGACATAAAATGTATGAACAGCACATATTGCTCTGATGGAATCTAAAGGACAGGGAGAATTTGAAGTATTGTGAAGGAAGGAAGTGTAAGGGCCATGGGACATACAGCGAATATAACATGGAGTGACAAAAACTTGCTAGGGAGCTGAGGCAACTGTAGTGCCAAACACTAGGATACAAATCTTGGCTAAGTTTGGTGCAATCTGTATAAAAATAAAGTGTTTTAAAGAGACCCTAAAGAATTCTGTATTTTGGTGAAAAAGTTTAGTGACAAACCACTGGCACTTATACTGTGTATTTGATTTAGTTTAAGGTGGTTACTGCAGAACACCTTGTCCGATGTGTCAGTCTCTTGACTGGTGTTCTTGGTTGCTATTGCTACACTGGTATATTTAAAGAAGAGGATGCCTGTAAATCAGAGTTGTTCCAGAATGCCAGGGTAAGCAGCAATTAATTTGAGAACTATTGAAAATGAAATAAACTATTCAATGTAAAATAATTCTTAAAATTCTATTCATATTTGACACATTTTCAGAGCATGAATATTTCCACTGGTTTCTGCTTCAGAAAGGCAATTGAGAGAGGTTTAAATGTGTTACTGCTGCTGAGAGGAGTCACTGGAATTCTGTCAATCCACCAATGCATTAGTTATGCAGTGGAGAGTATTCTAAATATTAATACATTTCTGAGTCACTCCGTTTAGAAAAATCAAATATTCATGGACATGTGGACAAAGGACTACTTAGAGGATAACAAGCCCTTTACTTTATAGGTCTTGTATGTAGGAATTTGTTAAGATTGATGGTTTAAACCAGTATGAATACTGTTACTATCCCTCCTGCTAATATCTGAGGTGGGTTCTTATTTCAATAGGGAAACCCAAAATTTATCAGTTTTTGGAGAGATGCTATATTCTTTTGTGATGAAAATATTAGTGTTTCAGGCAAGTCTAGGCCATCTTTTTGTCACTTCTGGAGCAGAATGAGTGGGGGAAAAGAAAAAAAAGTCCAGACTCATTATTCTACACTGTAAATATCAGAGCTGGACGAGTGAGAACATATGAATGAGAATCATGTCTTCTTATCTCTATGGGTGTGATATGTATGCACCAATGTATAAAGGAATTTAACTGAAGTATTTTAACTGTGTTGCATTTTTCACTAGTCTCTCATTCATTATGTTGGAGAAAGCATTTCTCAGTCTAAAAACAAACTAAATGAAGATGCCCAGATCAACTCACTGAGGACTTTGATAATGCAGTGTACAAAATGTTTATGCAATTGTACCAAGGTAAAGTTTATAAAAGAATTTATTTTTCCTCATTAATGAGATCACAAAGTTGAAATTCATATATGTGATACCTGAAAATAATGAATTAACCAATCTGTACCTCCTGCTTTCTTACAGAACAGTGCTAGTAAGATGCTGTCTAATATATTCCTGCGTTTGTTAACATCAAAATTTATGAATGATCTTGTAGATATTTGCAAAAATCTGGTATGTATATTCTGTTTCTAAATGGAGTGCTTTTGTATGAGAGGATTGTTTTTACAGTATAATAATTTGGAAGCAAACCAAATAAGATACTTAATACTGAAAAACTAAAAGAAAATACGTTGAGTTTTGTAGAGGGTTCCTAACTGGAAACATTTCTGTCCTGCATTTGAACATAGGTGTAGGGGGAAAATGAGAGTAGGTGGGTAAGATTTGATCAGGGTTAGCATGCCAGTTGACATTAAAAAAAAAAAAAAGTTATTTTGGGAAATTTGTTAATACTGTATTAGAGTAAAAGTATATACACATTTTATGCCACAGAAACAATTTCTGTAATGCATGATATTTAACTTTAGTGTGCTTGCATAGTTTTAAAAGCTTCTTCTAATCTTGTAGTTTGATGGACTTATGTGCCTTAAAACACTTTAAAGGTGTTTATTATATGAGTATTAGATCTTCTGACTGTAAATTACTCTCTCACCGAGAAGAATAATAGGGTAGCACATCACTGTTTAGCACAACTCTTAAAACTTCTCTGTTTGGCACATTGTCCTGTAGTCAGGTCTAGTTAGGCAAAATCCTTTTGTGTTTTCAGGTGAGGGGAAGCTGAGGGTCTTACCCTCTGTGAATTTGTCATCTGGTAGAGACAGTAGTAATTAGTGTGCCCTCAAAAAGGTCACATGCCTTCCTTTCATTTCTCTGAAATTATGAAGTATAGTGAGACATTTATGAGTCATGTGGTGAGAATTGTTTTTCAATACTAACAAGGTCTTTGGCACCATCAGAGACTAGTATCTGTCTGAGGAAGCTTGTATCCTAAAAAGAGTTGTTCAAATCAAGCCATTCATGTGTGTAGAAGAGATGTATCACAAAGGGTGGAATTCTTCAGTTCAGTGTAGCCCTTACTGTCTTCACCCATTCTAGTTCACTAGGAGAGTGTAGAGTCTTTCCTTGTATTATGCCTGTGGTGTTTCTCCTGTCCCTGAAATCCAACTTGAAAAGGATGTGGTGTTTCTGTCAGATGACATTTACTGGAAAACCAAATGAACTGGGAGAAGCTGATCTAATGGGCAATGATCCTGAGGAGAGCATAATGGAAGTAGATAACCAGGTGTCTGATGATCTGTTTGGTGAACATTCAGTAACTGACATCAGTGATACAAATGAATCTGGTGAGATGCAAAATATAACAGGTAAGTCTTCTGTATCCAAAACTCTACAAAAGCTTGTTGTCACGGATCGCTCCTTTCTTAAAAGAGAGTGGGATACAAAATTGTGCTGCTTTGTTAATAGCTGAAGCAGGTAATGGTTGAGCCAGATACTTTCTAAACAACAATAATTCTTCTGTACTTCATTAGTGTTTTAAAGATGTAAATGAAATACTCATTTGGAAAGAAGTTTATTTATTATTTTATAAATAGTAAAATGAGAGCAAATAAGCTAGCTAACTTGTTCAAAGTCAGGCAAAAATTTTGCCAAATAAGAGATTACAAAGTGTCTGTAGGATATCTGACTTGTCGTTAGACAATGCTTTGTGTTCTTAGAAGTAGTCCTATTTAACTTTTCTCCTTTTCCTGACCATCAATTGTTCATGAGGTCAGCTTTCTCATATCTCTGGACCTGTAGAAGGACAGGAGCCATGTATCTGTCTGTTTATCCCTGTTAGGAGCTACAAGTACTGATGTTTGCTTTTTTTTTGATCCTTTCTTAAAATTGTGTGTATCTAAATGTGACAGGCAAATGGCATTAGTAACTATTTCAGTAAAGTTATAATTGAAATTTCACTGAGGATGTTGACGTAGTGGTAAATGTCATAATTTCAATTTCTGGGAAGCTTTGAATCCATATTTTAAAAATATATCCAGAGTTACAGTTAAAAACACAAAAGTACACAGTTGCAGATGGTTCTGCTGAGTTCATTGTAACCTTGATGGAGATATAAGGAAGCTGCCC